TATCTCGACACGTTGTTCCCGCAGCTGCTCTGCGGGGCGCCACGGGCCGACTGCGGCCACCATTGCCCGAGACGCCGGGCCATAGCTCCCAGGGCAACAATCCTGCGTAAAATGCCGATCGGCCCTCGCACCGAAGGCTGGGATCTTTCATTGTGCGCGACGCGCGTTCGACCCCTCCGCCGCGATGCTGCAATGTAGAAGCCTCACCCTCATGTGCAGATATTCGTATATGTATATGCACCGTGTAACTATACGTGTGTATACGTACATACATACACACATACATACATACATACGTACATACATACATGCATGCATGCATGCAACATACATAAGTGCATGAACCCGTATTCATACAAACATACATACAGACAGACCAGCTGGCAGACAAACAGACAGGCATACAGACAGACATGCAAACATGCACGCACACAGTTACGTGCATACATGCACACATGTACGCATACATACATACAAACAAACATACACGCCGCAATACGTTATCCATTGGGATGGCTGCGGCGGCCACAAGAAGCCTAACAGTGCTGCAAACGAACTGCGGGCCCACTTCAAGGTATCAAAATATCCCGGTACCTTGCGCGGCCCCACAACGGCACCGAACCAACCTCGAAGTAATTGAGCATCAAAGTCACGGAACCACAACAGCCAATCACGCCCAAAGGCGCCTCGGTACGGTCCACAAGGGTGGCCCGCGCGTGTCACAGGCCGCCCTAATAATCCCCAGGAACACCGAACAGGACGACGAGAAGCGAGACAAGAGCAAAAAGGATACGGATGATAACGGAAGAGGGGCCCGGGCAAGACATGTGTCGACGGGGCTGGCGGCGGCGGCCGAAGGCCCTCAGAGAATGCCCCCCGAACATTGTTTGCGCCCTTTGGGAATTCGAGGCGCGGGGAGGGCGCGGGGCAAGTGGCGGGCTTCTCCCTGGCAGCCCGCCCGACGGCTCGACGAGATCCGGCAAACTTCGCGGGATGGATTCGGAAGGGCGGGGGAGCGAATGGGAGGGCAAGAGGGTGCGAGAGCGAGGAAGGCGGAAGGGAGGGGGGGCGACGAAAACAACACCGAAGAAGATGGAGAGGCACAGGGGGGGGCACGGGGGAGGCAGAGGCGGAGAAAACCATCAACGCGGGGGGCGGGAATGAGAAACTCAGGGAAGAGTGCGTGCGTAGATCGCAAAACAAACCCTGCGAGCGCGATCCAGCGCGCGTCGACAACTAGGAACGATGCGTTTGCATCAAGTTGCATCGGGCGGGCCTCCCCCGACGCACTTCGGAGCAACGATGACGAGCTCGCAATCGGCCCCGCCGCGGCAACAACGGCGCTGAAATAAAAGGAACACACATTCGCAAACATGCATGCGCACCCACGCGCGCCGCGCCCCCAGCGCGACAGGATGCCGAATACACCCCGAGCGCAGGCGCGCCCCTACCCGCGCAAAGTCGAATTGACGCAAACGTCAATCATCCAGCACCCAAGGGCATGGCAGGTGGTGCTTGCTCCACGCCCACTGCAAACATAATCTCACGGCGTGCAAAAACGTAAACGTGCCCGATACACTCTTCAAAGCGCTACACGGAAGCTCGTCCGTAGGGTATTGCACTTTGACCCGGTGGTCCCACTCGCGTTCGACTGATATTAAGCACCCAGGGACCTTTGGAAGATAAGCGCTCCGCTGCTCACTCGTATCCGCTGGCCCCCCCTTTTTCCAGGGACCTGCAAGCACGTCCGAACACAGGCTCCGAACCGCAACGCATGTAACCCATGCGTTCCAAATGGCGGGCGACAAAACGGAAATAGGAACGGCGATCGACATTGACATGAAGCGTCCAGGCACCAGCCCCTGAATACTCGACGTCCGGCTTGATGCGCAAAAACTTCCGAGCCAAAGCCTTCGCCTTCGCCTTTGTTTTAGGCGCGTCTAAGTTCTTGGTTGCCTTTTGGTGTTTGATGTTCGCCGCCCTTTGAACAGTGCGTCTACGTATCCAGCGTCTAAGCAAAATGCAGCGTTTTGCCCCCGCCCCGCTTTTTCACGATCGCCTAGACAGCGGCGTCGTCCCACGACGGCAAGGAGTGTTTGATCAAAGCACAGAGAATGTCGCATACCAGGGATGGCCAGTGGGCTCCAAACATTCGCCAAAAAACCGAATAGCAAATCGCACTGCTCCTTCACGGGGCGCGGATTATTGCGCGTCCGCCGCCTGGGGTCGGCGTCCCAAGGCACAAGAAGGCTGCCGATAAGGATATGCGTGAGGCCCCAAGGGCCCGGAAACATCCATGCCCAGCGTCTGCCGAAGCTTTGAAACATCGGGCCCTTCGGCGGTGGATGCACACAAATCACAGCCCCAGCTCCTTAGTCCAGTTTGGGAATCCCTCGCGCGCAGCGGTCTGTAACAAACTCCTCCTCGTTGGTCCGTAGCGGGAGCCTATAATGCCTTGTCCTTCCAGTCAGGCTTTTGAACTTTTGATGCAAAGTTGTTTCGCGACCAGGTCTGGCCCGTGCAAGTGAGCCATTCGGATGTATGTCTATGATGTGCGGCCTGCGTCGCGGATTCGGACTACCACGGCGCCCATTACAATAGCTCCCATAACGTACCACCAGTTCTCTGGAATTGGCCGTGCATCCGCGTGCCATATCACCGTCCCTGGAACGCACAACAGCGACAAGAAATGGTTTGGAACCGAAGCGAAATTGCGCTGGTGGGAGAGCAAACAACCTCACAGGAACGCAGAATTTGACGCGCCTCACACCCCGCCCCCAACTCCGCCCCTGATGCCCCGCCCTCGGATTAACTGGATTACTCCCAGACCGCTGCGCGGCGGGACCCCCGGCAGGCCCCCTTCGATTCCCGACCGCGGCAAAAGAAAGCTCGGGCCACAGTCTGCCCGGGGGCCCATTGCGCGCCAGCTCGCGGCAGGCGAACGGCAGCAACGTGCCCCAAACTCCTCGCTGGGGCGAGTTAACACAAAGGTGCTGGTGATTGGAAAGATTGCCACCACACCTGTTCCATGCCTGGATTCGCATAAGCAGTCGCCCCCAATGTCTCCTTGCTCTTCTGGATATCCTCAAGTACCGACTCGCCCAAAGAGAACGCATGCTTCTTCGCGTCGAACAACTCGTTATTGATGCGGGGCCCAGATTTCGCACTCGCAGAGACAAGCTCGGCTTTGTTGATGGGTTTTCGGTCCTAGTCGTCGTGGACAGAACTGGAGCCGTCGTTTGATCTGTCGGCGGCCCAAAACAAGAGAACCCCCCGCGCCAGCCCCCAGAACATGACATCGAACATCTGCGAACGAGACGAGCTCCAGCGAATGCGACGACCTGGGGAACCTCGCCAGCCCCTGACGGCGTGTCTGGTTTAGCGAGTTTTCTCGTCCAGCCCCCCCTTTCCTTTCGGGAAGGATTTACCCCTCCCTTACCCCCCCCCCCTCGCTCCTGAATCTGGAGGGGCGGGGGTGGGTGGGGCGGCGGGGTCGTCGGAGCGTCCGAAACGACCTCGGCGAAAAAGGCCGCCATTACTGATGTTACTATGGTTTTGGCAGCACGCTGGCCTATCTAGGGCCCCCCCCGTTGATCGACCTCCTTCACGATGGCCGAAGATGGCCTCCGAATCGCCTAAGGAACCCCGAGGCGGCCTCAAGAGGTGCCCAAGAAGCCCCACAAGGGCCCCAAGGTGCCCCTCAAAGGCCCCCCGGAGACACCCGAAACGCCCAAAGAGGCCCCCCGAGGGGTACTCAAGACTAACATCCCAGGAAGCCTCGGCGAGAAGGCCAAACACATTGAGTTTACACACGGGTTTGGCCACGCGTTGGCCTCCTGCGGGGGGGGGCTCATCAAGAACCGCCCCTCCTTTGATCGATCGCCTCTAAGATGATCTAAAGATTGCCCCCGAGGGCGCCCCAAGGCGGCCGCCCAGGAGGCCCCAAGAAGGCCAGCAAGATGCCCCCCAAATGCCCAAGGCGCCCCCAGAAACCCCCATAACAGCCCCGATGACACCGCTGATTTGATTAAAGCATGGGTCACAGGCTGGCCTCCTGCGGGGGGGGCCCTAGTGCGCTACGCCCTCTCGCTTGACCGCTCAATAGCCCCAAGACGGCCCCCGAGGCACCCAAGAGTGTCCCAACAGGAAGCCCCAGGTGGCCCCGAAAAAACCTCCCCGGCGTTCCCGAGGCTCCTGAAAGACTCCCGCAAAACCCCTCAACGGCACTCAATACGCCCCAAAAGGCCACAGGGGCTATGCCAAGAGACCCCTGATACATGTCGGCAGCCCCCTCATCGCCCTCGTTTTCCCTCTCCTCCTCCCCCTACCCCCCTCCTCATCATCAGCATCATCATGGTGATGCTGATCATCATCACCATCAGCATCATCAACACCATCATAATCATCATCATCATCGCCATCATCATCACCACCATGGGTAACATCATTATCATTATTGTTATTATTATCAGCATCAACATCAGCATCACCACCATCATAATCATCATCATCACCATCGCCATCATCATCATCACCATCATCAGCACCATCAACATCACCATCACCACCATCATCATCACCATCAGCATCATCATCATCATCATCATCACCATCGTCATCATCATCGTCATCATCGTCATCATCGTCATCGTCATCATCCGCCTCCTCATGATCCTGTCATTCATCGTCCTCCTCCTCCTCCTCCTTTTCCTCCTCCTCCTCCTCCTCCTTCTCCCTCCTCCCCCTGCTTTTCCCAATGCTCCTCGTCCTCCTCCTCCTCATCCACCTCCTCCTCGTCCTCCTCCCCCTCTTCTTGCTCCTCCGAATCCACCTCCATACTCCCCATTCTTGGGGTGGGGCGTCCTCCCCAGCCTCCCATTCCTTTGCATGCTCCTCCACATCTCTGCTTAGGGCAGCTCGCGTCGGCATCGCTTCTTGATGGGCTGGTGGGTTACGCGAAGCTGTGGGACATCACTCAACAGCGAACAACTAAAGCGGGTTGCTGAAGACGGGGGCTGGGGCGGCATCGCCAAGTGAACACGATCGAACCCCCCTCGATGAAGGGCGCCCGTCCGGCGCCAGGAATCACCCCAATAGACAAACAATAAGACAGAGCGAGCCCCAATAGACAGTGAGACCACCGCGATCTACGACACGTTCCCGCACCCCCCTTGGAAGGAAGCGTCAAGTCATTGAACGCCAGTTCCACGACCCTGGACGTCCCATGCGATTTGAAAACTAGCTCAATGTCATTGCGTATGTTTTCGGGCACCCTCTTGAACTCGCACTCGTCAGGCGCCACTAATACCTCCCGGACCCACGTAGAGCGTGGCCAGAGGAGATTACCTAAGAACTCGCGCGCGAGCTTTTTGGCGCGGTCGGCTCCAGGCCCGCGGCATACAGTTCGGCCTCTTCCAGGGCGGCAAAAATGTCGTAGAAATGGGTCAAGCATGCCTCCTTGCCGTACCATCGCAGCTGCACAAGCCAGCAAAAAAGGAGTGGCGGGCGCTGCGCGTAGCTCTGCATGTGCACCCACTCGAGCGTGAACACTCCCCGAATCAGCCCGATCATTGTGTCACACAAAAGCTGCTCCTGCTTGATAGACATCGGAGCGAGGCCGGCCGGGGAAAGGCACATACTGATTCCAAGTAGCTCCAACTTCCGCGTGTCACCTAAAAGCTGTACGACATCCTGCAAGTACTCTGTCAGAAATGCCCTGCTTACCATCCGTGCGTGATAATGTACAGCCCCCATCTGGGTTGCCAGCTCTTTCGTGCAAGTGTTGTGCGCCTCGGCCAACGGTGTGGCAGCCATGCCCATCATGAGAGCAACCCGCTTCATCTCTGGATCACCCAATGTGAAAACAAACATATAGACGGATATCATAAATTTGGCCCTCTCGACCTCCAACTTTTTCTTTGCCTCGTAGATAGTTACAGCCTTGTCAGAACTCAAAGAAGGTGTTGGCGCTGGAGCAAGTGCGGAACTCGATGCGCCTGCCGCGCAGTGCAAGGGGGATCTGACTTCGTTGGGCCTGGCACAGCCGCGAGAAGCCACGGGGACAAGGGCCGTGCCCAGATACCCCGAACAGCTACGAAGAGCCACGGGGCCACGGACCGCACAGCACGGGCCTCGGCCACAAGGCCACGGACCACCGAGCGTCGGGCCCACGAGCCTTGATGCCGTGGCAGATTCGACGGCAGGCCTCTCGAGCCAGACGGCCCGCAACGTTCATCGGCTGCGCACGAGAAGGCGTGGGGCACAGGGGGCGGCATTCTAAAAGCAGCGGTCTTCTTTGAAGGGATCGCAAGCGACCTAGAATACGCGTTGAAGGCAAGGTGGCTTCCACAACCCCATGTTTCCTGGGAGGGCCCCCCTTCGCGCCGCTCCCATTCGCGCGCCGCCGAATTGCAAACTGGAGCGGGGAGAACAGTATTATCCGCCACCCCGCTTCAGGGGGCCCCATGCGAGCTGCCGCACTACTGTTTCGCGAATGCGCTGCCCCGATGTCGACTCTGCGCCGGGTAATATGATAGCCCTTTTCCGAGGGCCGCGATCCACAGCGCTGATCTGAAACTTCTCATCCCCACACGAAGCCCCAATTCTAAAATTGCGCGTGAAACCGCGCCCCCAGTGCGAGAGCCACTAACGCAATCTCCTGAATCCTCGCAGCCAGAGCATAGGCACCACGATGACGTTATAGGCCCTTGCTGATGCGCGGTGCTACAACTTGAGCCATCTCCCCCCAGAGCCACGGCCCTTCGTAAAATACATGCAATCTCGCTCGCGCGGCAACGATCGCCCTCGCAACACGAACGCGGGCCCGCGAAATTGGTGTCGCGAATCAGACAAGGCAGAGCGTTCTAGGCCGTCGCTCTACAGGTGGCTGCCTCGTCGGAAGCAAGGGGATCGATATGTTGATGCATTCACTGATGGCACGTCGAGACGGGTCGAAGGTCGAGAAGGAAGGCGAGAATGAGGACGCATCAGCAGGAAACCGGAAGAGGCAACGCCAACAAGCCTTGTCTGTAGTTCTGCAAAATCATCGGCGGAACAGGGGGAAGAGGGGGAGGGGGGCACAAACGTCGGGGAAGCAATCTATTGATCACGAGACAGCGAAGCCCAGCAACAGAGGAATGGCCCCGATCGTTTGTGGACAGTGGGAAACAAAAACCACGTCACAATACCAGTGCGCGAACAGTGAAGGACTGGGAACTCAAGACAACAAAGAGAAATGGGGCGCAAGCGAAAACGGAACGAATGGCGCAGGCTCGTGATAATGCGAATGGCCGGCCATCCCATAGAACGGGCATCGTTCCACGCAGGGCACTCTTGCATTCGGCGCATCGAGCATGTATCGATGATGCATTGCTGATGCATCGCCCATGCGCCTCAATGCGGCGAGCGCGTCGCCAGCGCATCGGCGATGCATCGGCGATGCGGGGCATTCCACCGACCCCACCTACTCGGACCCCATCTAGGAGGCCTAGAACGCGGCCGCGCAAGCAATATGAGGATGGCCGGTGGCAGAGGGCGAAGCACTTTAGATACGACGACAAGACAATACGGATATCGAAAAAAAGGGCGGGACGAGCAAGGAGAGGAAAAGGATAATGGAGCGGGGCGGGAGAAGAGGGAGGAAGGCCAGGAAGAACCCAGGATGCATCAATGATGCCACTTCTTCCTCTTCACTAGAAACACATGTTGGAACACTTGCGCCCGCCCGGGCGATCATTTAGGCGGGAGTTCCGATGTGTAAAAGAACAGCCCTGCATCTTTCGAGCGGCGAATATGGCATTTAGAAAAGTCTACATTCAATCGTTTCTCACCAGAACAAGAGGGACTTCATGGTGCAGCTGCTGTAAGAATTACGCGCTTGGCCATGCGCCCTGAGGCAGCCTCAGGCGAACAAACCCCGCTTTCACAAGAAGCCGCCCTCAATTTTTAGAGCGGCTGCGCACGAATAAAACAAACATGTGCGGTGCGAAGGCAAATGCGTAATCCAATCAGGCCTCCGGGCGAAGGTGGCGGGCGGTCTAAAAAGTTGTCCCTTCCAACCCTCTTTTTCCACGTCGGGGAGGGGCGTGCCCTTCCCACTACCTCCTCCCCTGGATCTGGACGGGGGCGCCCCGCGAGGTGTCAGAAGGTACTTGTCAGCCTCGCCCACGACGGTGGCAATAAGACCTCAGTGGAGCCCGAGATGACCTTCAGGATAGCTTAAGATAGTCAGAATGTAAAAAATGGCTTTCAAATTGTTCCAAGAGGCCCCGCGAACGCTCCAAGACGGCCCCGCATGGCCACGGAGTTTCCTCTGGAGGCCGATATATATATATATATATATATATATATATATATATACATACACATTTACATATAAAAAACTTTCCAAAAACGAGTGACAATCAATGTCTTTTACCTTCTCGCCTGCTCGCTTCAAGATGGCCCCAGAGGGCCCCAAGAAAGGCCCGGGGGGCCTCCAAGGCAGCCCCAAGAACGCCCAGGGGAGCCCCAACAGGGGTCCAAGAGACGAAATTAGGCACTCTACAGGAGCAAAGCTACTTCACCCCCCCCCCCCCCCCCTTTGTTTGATCGATATTCCAAGATGGCTCCAAGAGCGCCCCAAGGCTCCAAAGAACGCCCCAAAAGGAGAGGCGCCAAAGCGGGCACTCAAGAAATTACAGAGGCGCCCGGGACCGCCAAGAGGCTCCCAAAACGCCCCAGTAGGCCACTGCACACCCCTCCGCTTTCCTGATCAAGGCAACTCGCCTGGGCATCGTTTCTGACTGGGCTGGCGGGGGTACTTTGATCTTGCGGAGGAAAACTGTTCTTTCGCGAGCGACGCGGTCCAGCCGCGCGCCGTCCAGGAACGCGCAGCGACCGAGCAGCGGGCTAAATTAGGCCCTAAGCGACAGGAGCGGGCTACGCTGCCACTCAGGCGGCTGAAACGACGCAGAAGAACAGGAAGTTCACGCCAACCCAAGGAGGACCAGGAGGAGGGCCTCGATGCACACCAACATGGTGAATGAATTGGAGCGTGACCAAATCCAGATAATGGACCCAACGTCAGACGTCGTGCATGTACTCGTCGACCATGATGAAGCGAAACGGCGAGCGAACGTCGCAGCGGGGGTCTACAGCCAGGCTGGCGAACCATCGTGGGCGGCAGAGCGCGGCGCTGCAAGCCGTCTCTCAGCTCACGCGCGGGAGGATCGCCAGACGTAGAGGGAACGCTAAACCCAATGTTCCGGAAGGCGCCCACCAGCCAAAGCGCGCCCCGTCGGCGCGGCAACCCTCAGAGCGAACGGCGCGGCCTGGAAAGATCGATAGCTCCCAGGTGGAACTGCCGGCACTCAGTCGGTCGAGGGCGACGGCGCGGGGGCGCCGGGGGGCACGCCGCGGACCGGGGCGTGCGCGTGCCAGCGGAGGCGGGGAGCGACGGGGGGCGGCGGGCCACGGCGACGCGATGGGCGGGCCCGGGCACCCCCCGGCTGGGAGTCAGCCGCGCGCCGGCCGCCTGGGGGGGGACGGGTCGGGGAGGGCCAGTAAAACGACTAACAGTCGCGCAGAACTGGAGTCTTTTGGCGGGGGGGCGCGGGGGGCGGGGGCAAGGGGGCGGGCGGGGGGCGGGCGTGGGGAAGCAGCCAACAGCCGCAAAACTTGCGTAGCATCCTGCGGGGGAAGTGTCCTTCCCACTCGCGCTGGGGGGGGGGCGGCAGCTCCTTCCTGCACGTGGGCGTCGCCGCCAAGGCCTGCCGGTTGCCCTCCGAAGGGGCGAGGCCGGGCTCTGTCCTCGGCGTCCCGTGCGTCACTGAACCCCGCCCCGTTGCTCGCGTTCGGTACAGCGGGCCTCTCCCCAAGAGGGTCTCCGGCCAGGTTGCCACCGCCCTGGTCCGCGTGGAAGCCGCCCGTCTCAGCCGCCGAACTGGGCCCGTTGCCTGCTCAGGGGGGATTCTGGATGCTCCGAAGGGCCCCAGGGGGGGGCTCAAGAATTTTGAAATGGGGCCACCATCCATTTCCGCAACTGCTGCAAACTGTCGAGACGAATGCGAGCGGCGGTAATGCGAGAGCTTCACGTTCACAACCGCCCTCCGTGCGCGTAACTGTTGCGCGAAACCAAAACGATCACGCGCGGCGCTAAAGAGATGCCTCAATTTCGAAAATGAGCCTCCGTCGGCCCGATGACTGCTGCAAACGTCAAACTTCATGGCCATGCGGGATGAGTGCGCAATCAACGCGAGTCCGGCCAGCCCCACCAACCCGTCGGGGGCTGCGGCAGGACAGGTCATATATAAAGAGGAAAATTAAAGACACGGGGGAATAGGCGGGGAGGGAGGAGGAGGAAGAGAGAGGAGGAGGAGGGGAGAAAAGTAAGAAAAACGGGACCGGGGAGAGTCGGAATGAAGGGCGCCGGCCGCGGGCGGCGCCGCTGCGCGCGATAATTTTTCGAGCGTGCTGGCCAGAAAAGTGATCGAAGGACGTGCGATACTTGGCGCGTGGATGATGCTTCTGTTTTGGCGATGTTAACGGTCTCTCCCCTGCGCCGAGACTGGGGGGCGCCATGAACCGCCATGTGCACGGTAGATCGCCATGGGGAATGCGGGCGGCTCATCTCCTGGACTGGGCTGCCCAACAGCACAAAGACTTCCACGCGCCGCCTTCCATCTGCTACTCAAGACCACCTTGTTCCCCGAGGCGCGCAGTCCACCGCCCGCGCTGCGCCGACCTGTCGGCGGCGCGCCTCCCCCCCGAGCCACCCGGGCCCCGAATGCCCACCGTCGCGTTGCGAGCGCGGATGGGCCCCAATCCCAGGTGATGTCTCGCGGGGGATCAGGGCGCCCGTAGGTTGGCTCTGGGCGGGGCTCCACAAGTGAAGAATGCGCCTTCGGGGTCGGCGGTGATAGCTTCATCTACCAAATCCTCACTGCTAGCAGTGGCAGGGTCTGGTCTCGCCCGAGTACCAGTATCGGGTGTTGCTGCACAGCAGACCGAATAGCCACCTGTCGAATTCTGACGGCTCGCGCTGCATGTCGAACTTGCTGACAATCGCGGCCTCCGGGCGGAGAGAGTGTGCGTGTGCGTGTGTGTATGTGTGGTATGTGCGTGCAGATGCGTGTGCGTGTGCGTGTGTTTGTTTGTGTGTGTGTGTGTTTGTGTGTGTGTGTTTGTGTGTGTGTGTGTGTGCGTGTGTGTGTCTGCGTGTGTGTGCGTGGTGCGGGGGGGGGGGGGGGGGGGGGGGCATCCTCTCTTCGGGCGGGTTCCAACCGATTGCAGTAGGCAAACCGATTTGGGTTATAACATGGGAGACTGGCGATTGGAACTGGAGCAGGGACCAGCAAGCCTAATCCCCGCAGCTGGATGGCCACACGACGGCTTGCGGACTGTGCTCTTCAGACGATCTACACTTTGTCAGAGCAGTTCGGCTGCCGCGAGA